GGACTGAACCAGCCATAAGACCAGTTCACGGTTGAACCGGTCGAACCGGCCGGTCCAGTCCGGTTTTCAAAACAATGAATATTTTACAATGAAATTGTCTAAAGACTCAAACGACAAATATTTGTGAATAGCATAGCAATATGTTAAACATCAATTAAATGACGTACATTTCAAAAAAACTCATGTTTATGAACAAAGATAAAAAGAATATCCTAAAAAAATATTTCTTTAAATTAAATCACTCAGAAATTTTTTCTTTACTCATAGGGGTTATTTACAACTTTACATCTTCTTTTAGGCAAAGTTCATTAACACTTTAGCTTAAATCTTGAAAAATAAAATTTTAGGGAATAAATCCTATTTCAATTAAATATTGTATTTTTTAAATCCTAACATTCACAGGATTTAAGGATTTCTCTCTCAAACAAATATTAAATCCTGAAATGAATACCCAAACAGTTTATCAGGATTAAGCAAAATTTAATGTTTATCATGCAATGAATTTTCAAGTTTTAGGATTTACTAAATCTGAGTTTACATGATTTATTTATTTTTGCTTGAATTAAAAACTACATGTATAGCTGTTCAAGATTTAGCTAGGATTTAAACTAAAATTTGCCAAATACTTTTTTGAGCCAAATAAATCCTAGTACATTTTTAAATCCCACATTCCTCTAGTTTTAGGCTAAATGTTGAATTTAGTAAATGCTAGGGAAAGCAAGGCTTAAGAGATTTCTTCATTATGCATCTTCTTGTCTATCATTTAAATCATAAATCTTTAAAGTATCTGGCAAATACATAACTAGGATTTTACTACACATAACATTTAACATGCCAAATAATTTTCAGGCTTTAATGTCTCTAAATGTTCTAAATATGGATTTGCAAGAGTTAGGAAATACATGTGTTAATGCTTATATTTTGATGTGACACTAGGATGATATATGAGTAAATATAATAATTTAGCAGTTAGACATGTAAATATATAAGAAGTTTGTAGTATGCACGTATTACGTAAATGCCCCTTTACTAATCCTACTAGTAGCAAAACAGCCATTTATTCAAAACATACCTAAATTCAAGTTTGTCTCCAGATCTAAAAAAAACAAGTTTATCACTCAAAGAAAGGTAAGAAACACTTTTCCAGAAGAGCTGACAATACCTATTGCTAATCTTGGAACATCCAACAAAAACCAGGAAAAAGGGGTATTTTGTCGAGCACCTTAAGATCAAAAAGCAAGCATCGGCAAACGGATATCCAGTACAAGAGAACAACAAAAATAATAATAAAACTCACGATTTGGTTGCAGCGTAGACGGCATAGAGTGGCTCGGATGGAAGAACCGCAGCGACCCCCGACCCAATATTCAAAATCGCTCCCCTCTTCCTCTCGACCATCCCCGGCAGCACGGCATGAGTAACCCTCGTCACCCCTTCCACATTCACCTTGATCAAATTCTCAATCAGCACCTCATCCACCTCGTGGAAATATTTAGCATAAGGGTACGAGATCCCCGCATTGTTCACGAGTATCCCAACATCCATACCCTCGATCGCCGTCTTCAATCTAGCAACGCCCTCAACAAGATCCCCTGCGAAATCGATGAGCACGGTCTCAATCCGGACCTTGTTGTACTTTTCCGTGATGGCGGCCGTGACGTCGCGGAGCTTATCGGGGCTGCGGCCGACGAGAACAAGGTTGAGGCCGCGGCGGGCTAGCTGGAAGGCGAGAGCACGGCCGATGCCGTCAGTGGCGCCGGTGATGACGGCCCAGGAGCCGTAGCGCTTGAGGTTTTTGCCGCGGCGGATGAAGGAGACGAAGAGCCAGTGGACGACGGCGATGGAGGTTTTGAGAAGGGAGAGAAAGCCGATGGCGAAGACTGCAAGAACCCATCGCGGTTGATCCATAAGGGAAGAGAGGCAACCCCAAAGTTCCATTTTGTCTCTAGCCCTTATAGCTCTCCTCGGCCGGGGACAGCAGAGATCTGGACGGCAAGCTCATTTATAATACAGAGACTTGTGAACATCAAGTACGGCAAGGAATTATAACTCCGAAATCCGAATGAGTAGTTGGAGTAGATGAGCTGAAATGAACAAATGGACAGGCAATTAGATTAAGAATTAAGATTAGTCCTGGCTTTAAATGAATTGGATCTGCCGCCGAACGCCGAACGCTGACCATCACATATGGAAGATTTTAGAGGATACAGATTTGTCACGAAAAAATATATATTTTCAAGTACTTTTTCAAAAAAATAAATAAGCTTTTCAGAATTGGGGGATCATAAATTTCACATTTGAATATTTGATGCAATAAGAATTTCAATGTAAATTTTAGATTTTAATTCACACAAAAATTTGAATCAACAGCTTAAAAAATATAATTTTTGTTGCGTGCTAGAATATACGCGGCAGTAGGGTTAGAAAATATTCGTCTTAGCGTTGCATGAGTATTCCGCACACAAACAGAAAAGAGAAATGAACACCAAAGTTTTTACGTGGAAAACCCGAAAGAGGGAAAAAACCACGGGGCATCGCCCAGTTGCAAAGTTCCACTAGTATTTGTTTAAAATACAAAAGTTGATCCGTCTTACAAATCAAGATCAATTTACAATCAGCTTCTCACAAAGTTACAAAGTTTTGCAAATTCCCGAAGTTTCCCGAAAATCTGGCAGAGTTCCGGCGTCTTCAGGCGGCAGGTAGAGCTCCGGCGGTGGTCGAGGAGGAGAGGAATCGCCTTTTCCCCTTTCCCTTCTTCTCTTCTTCTTCTCTCTCTTCACTTGAGTTCCTTTGGTGTAGAATGAGGGCTCTATTTATAGTTTTTCTGGAGTGACATAGCCCGTAAATAGGTGTGAGATCAAGGCCGAGTTGGGAGTATTTTGAATGGACGGCTGATATCGAATCCTTTGATCATGCGCCGTTCGTTGGGCATTTGAAGGCCTTAATGATGTCGGAATTTGGTGATCTTGCGCTCGTTGGATTCTTCTCGTCGAGCCGTTCGATTCGAGTATAAGCTCGTCAAAATCGGAGACCGTTTGGTAACTCAAATTGCGGTTTGAACCTTCCAACAGCGCTTAGGGTCCTTGATTCGGACTCATTTGGGCTCGGATTGGGTCGAATTTGGTGTCATTGGATCCGTATTTCCGAGACGCTCAGTTTGACGGTAAGCTCACTGAAATCGGAGTTTATATGCTCCCGAAATTAATTTTTGAAGTTTCCAACTAGTTTTTGCCTCGAGATTCGTGCCCGACCAAGATGATTTTGCGATGTCGTATCAATTTTAAAGATCAAATGGATTTCTGATGTAAAAGGAAGATTCCATATTGTTCCCATTTTTTAGGTAATCCAACTCCCTACTTTTGAAGCTTTAATATGATGCATGGGCATAATTAAAAAGACTAACCAGAAATAGAAAATGGGCACATGTCAACTTTTGGAAGAGATGCAATATTTATCCTAAGGATATTGAAATATTAATAATTTGATTTAGGAGTGTTAATAAATGATTCAATTCTTTGGGTTCCAATTGTCACATTTAACCTATTTTGAAATGGGTAAAATTCTGATTGACATGTGAACCTATTTTGACTCATTTAACATATTTTTTTTTTAATTTTTTTACATGTGGATATAATCTTATTATTTTTTTTTTATCAAATATCCTAAATTTTCTAGTTAATAAGTTATAAGAAAATTTAACAAAAACTAGTTAGCAATCGGGTTTGGGTTCGGGTTGATGTTTTTAACCCGTTTATAAAAGGGGTCAGTTTCGAGTTGATTGGATTCGGGTCAGACCAATTTTGGGACTAACCCAAACTCCACCTATCAACATGTTTTGACACACCTACCTTGGTTTACTTCAAAATTAGATTCACTTTATTCAAATTTTAAAATTTTTGCTTATGATATCATCAACTCAGAATGAATCATGAGGAAGAGGGGAAGATAATTTTTATTGGAGGGATATTCTACTACAAAGTAATATTTTTCATTTTGAATAATATTTGAGCGACCTATCAAAGGATAATAAATAAAATATTTAGAGCGCAAAGGAGAAGAAGACTTGAAGTTTATGTTTGATATGTCACAAAAGATTGAATTGATCGAGCACAAATCTCGAGACATATCATAATTGAAAAACTTCAAAATTAAATATTGGACCATCTAACTCTGATTTTAGCAAACTTATATACAAACTGAACATCCCAATGAGATGAATTCAATGACACCAAAAATTGGTCCAATCCGAGCCCAAATGGGTCTAAATCAAGGGCTTGAAACACATTTTAGATGCTTCATGATATTAATTGGATAATCAAATGGTCTTCAAATTCGGCATGCTTATAATCGAATCCAGTGACTCAATAAGATGAATCCTATAAGATTAAGATGGCTTAATTATGACATCATCAAGTAACTTAGATGCTTGACAAACGCTCTATAGTCAAGAGAATCAATATATGTCGTTTGATACAGCACTTTGAATTTGCTCTAGATCTTTCTCATGTTTATAGAGCATGTCACTCTCAAAATTTATAAATTGTTCCCCTCTCCCTACATGAAGGGTCAACGACCTTTGAAGGCTTGGACATTGGGCTAGAGATTCAAAGCTCTGAGGTTTGAAGAATCCAGCATCTCCACCTGAGCACCACTGGCAAACCCTCGTTGGCTAGCCACAACATTTAGACTTTCACTGGCCGATCTTCGTCGAACTTTTTCTTGGCCACTGTCATCAAACATTTTTTCACCTGAGCACCGTCATTGAACCTTTCATGGACTACAATTCTCTAACCACAATAGATTGACTACGGCTCTTAAATCGCAATCAACTGACTATAGTCCCTCCAACATCAGCCGCTCTCTAACTACATTCCATATGACATTTTTGCCCACTGACTATATTCCTCGCACCACCATTGTTTAATTATAGTCCTCTGTCCATCATCTCCCACTGACTACAACCTCAGACTATCATTTCTTCGACTATGGTCCTTATACCATCATACATACGTACAGTCTTTTCGATCTCCATCACCTATTAACTATTGTCCTTCTAATCTCCATCGCCTGACTAGGATCCATTTGACATATATCGCTCGACATCAACCCTTCCGATCTCTGTAGTCCAATGACTATGATCCTCTGACCACCTTCACCGCTGACAATAGTCATTGGACCACCATTATCCAACTACGGTCCTCAAACCATTACACCGACTATGGTCCCTTTGATCTCCGTCACTCAACTAAGATCCCTCTGATATCTGTCACACGACTATGGTCCCTCTAACCTCCATTACTCGACTATAATCCTTACGACTGCTATCGAGTGACAACACTCACTCCAACCTACGTCGCCCATCAAATACAATTCTTTTGACTTTCGTTGTTTGTTGACTAGGGTCCCACTGACCTTCATAGTATGATAATGGTCCCACTAATCATATATACCTGACTATAGTCCCTGCAACCACTGTAGCTTGACTGCGATCCTCAGACCACTATCACCAAATATGATCCCTCCGACCTCCATTATCCGACTACAATCTCTTCGACCTCTGCCACAAAACTACGGTCCTTCCAACCTCCATCTTATGACTATAATCCCTCAAGCTTCCCTCGCCCACAGACTATGGTCATTGGACCATCATCAGCCATTTTTGATCAATACGAACTCAATCGCCTAACTATGGTCCCTCTATCGCCCGCTGACTATAGTCCTCATACCATAGTCGCCCAACTATGATCTTTTTTATTATGTTTCTTGATTATGATCCCTCTAGCTTACATCGCCCACCCAAAAAAGTCCTAGGGCTATTATTGCTTGACTACGGTCCCTTTGACAATCTTCTTCCGACTACAGCCCTTCCAACTACGGTCCTTTGACCAACGTCGCCAAACTACATCACTCAAATAACTATCACCAGACTATGGTACCTCTGACCTCATCCGCTTGCCGACTATAGTCCCTCCAACCTTTCTCGTTGACTATAATCCTTCTGACTTTTGTTGTTTGCCAACTATAATCCCTTTGAACTCAGCCACCCATCTACAATCTCTCCAACATTTTTTCCTCAACTATGATCTTTTTGACCTCCGTCGTCTGACTATGGTTCCTCCGACCTCTATCGCCGGCCAAATTTGGTCTTCAGACCACCGTCCCTCGACTATAATCCTTATATTACTATTATTAGACTATGGTTCTCTGACCACCATCGCTTGTTATAGTCTTTATGACCTTCATTGCTTAATTATGGTTCCTTTGACCAACATCACCCGACTATAGTTCCTCTGACTACAATCTCTTGATTACAATCATTTTGGCCCCAGTTGCTTGACTACTATCCCTCCAACCTCAATCGCGAGACTATGTTCCATTCGACCATTGTTGCCTTAATACAGTCCTCCAATCTCAGTCACCTGAATACAATCATTCAAACCAAATAAACAGGCCAAACGATCTTTTAAGATAAGCTCTAACCTCAACAACATAATGTGCTTTTTACTATATATATTTTCTACATTATGCCAACACCTTCCCTCGAGGAAGCGTATCATTTGTAATTAACGTCAAACACTAGTGAAATCATTTCAATAGGGCTAGACCCTACGATTTTCCCTTTTTTTAGAATTTTTCACATAATAATTTTGGTGTCTTTTATGACTCTTGCACCTCCTCTCTCCCTTATCTAAATTTGTGCTGGATCTTCATACAAACATAGGAAATTAAACTTCCCATCTCTCTGTCGCCACAATGCTCCAGTACGCAGCAAAGCCGATGATGTCTTAGTAATGAGTATTGGCAATGCCGAGCACCTTGTTGACCTCATAAAGATGTTCACATGTAAAAAACCCAAAATATATTATTTATTTAATTATGAAATATAAATTCATATTTTAATTCAATAAATTATTATGAATAAGTTAAGACTTATTCAACCATCGAGAGTCAATTCATTTAAAACAGACTAATTGCTAAAAAATTGGCCAAGTTATTAAGTATTTTATGTAAACAAACTATTTTTTTATGAAAACCAAAAGAAAGTAGGTAAGCAGCTTGATTTTGGTTCAAGTTGAGCCTACATTGGTTCAGTTTAAAAAAAAACCTACATTGGTTCTGTGAATCTACATAGAATTTGATCACACCTAAGAGGTGAGAGAGTGAGATTGAATTCCTCACG